CCAGGACAGCTGGGGCTACAGGAAGACCCTGTCTCAAAAAAACCAAAAAAAAAAAAAAAAAGCAGAGTCTAATAAGGCCTTGTTTGCTTATGAAGAGAAATGATTGTATGTTTAGAGGAGTAACTCAGTAAAAATGGAAAAAGTAAAGAATTGCTGAAATGCTATCCTTAAGGAGGCGACCTAAGAAAAGGTTGTCTCTCCAAAACTTCAGAGATATATAGTAACGGGAAGTATGAGGATACAGATGCTGGTAATGGGGAGACATGGTGGCAGGGAAAGGTGTGTGCATGTGTGTATCTGCATGCATGTGTCTGATCTACATGCATGTATGTGTTTGCATGTGTGCTACAGTGGATGCCTGTGAAGGCCGTAGGTTGATGTTAAGTACCCTTTTCCCTCACTGTACATATTATACTGAGGCCAGGTCTCTCACTTGAACTCAGAGTGCACTAACTGTCGGTCTAGCCTCTGCTTCCCAAGTGCTGGAATTATGTGGGTGAGTGTTACAGGTGGGCCACCATACCCACTCACCTACCCAGCATTTTTGTGGGTGCAGGGAATAGAAACTAAACTCAAGCAAGCACTTTTATCTGCTGAACCACCTCCCCAGTCCCTTGTTTTGCTTTTTGTTTTGGAGCCAAGGATTTTTTGTTGTTTTTGTTTTTTTGTCTTTTTTTGAAGCAGGGTCTCCCTGTAGCCCCAGCTGTCCTGGAACTCACTATGTAGACCAGGCTGGCCTCGCCTGCCTCTGCCTCCCAAGCGCTGGGACTACAGGCATGGGCCACCATGCCCGGTGGAGCCAAGGATTTGGATAGCCTCAGGCTGGCCTTGGATTTCTTACCTAGCTGAGGATGATCTTGAACTCTTGATCCTCCTGCCTCCACCTCCCAAGCTGCTGAGAGTGCAATCATGTACCAACAAGCCCACCCCTCTTGAGTGCTTTAATTTTCAAATTAAAAAAGCAAGCCCAGAGTGAGGATGTGGAAGGTGTGGGCAGTTAGAATTACAAAATGCATATTAAGGCAGAAAATGCAAAAGGGAAATATGTCTGCTAGGGCAGATTTATGGACCCAGTCAATGTTATGATCCTGGTGAAGCAGGTTTGGCTTGAAGTTGTAGATACTTTATTCACTCATTCACACAGGTCTTACTATGTAGCCTAGGATGACTTTGAATAAGCAATCCTCCTAACTCAGGTCGCAGACTGCAGAGGACCCAGGTGCGAATCTTAAACTTTTTCAAGTTAAGCAGCCTTCAGGTCGCCTCAGCAGACTGCAGTATCAATGTTTAGCTCAACCCAGGAATGTTTCATTACACAAGAACAGACATGCACCTGGGCGGGCATGCTGGCGCACTCCTGCAATCCCAGCACTCAGGAGGCCGAAGGAGGAAGATCACTAGTTCGAGGCTAGCCTGGCCTACGTAGAGCTCCCTTGACGAAGGGGAAGGTGACCGCAAGCTGTAGCCGGACAGAGGACACGCCCGATCAGATCTCTCCCGCTTCTGCTTCTCTGAATCCCGACCCCGACGCTGCCCACCAGAGTAGCCGGTTCAAAACGGAAACTTCCGCCGAGAGGCCCCTCCCCTGCCTGAGGTTACAAGGGCCGCGACTGCCGCCCGGAGATGCCCGAAGTGGAGTCGACTTGCTCCGTACCCACGCTATCGGTCGCGGTGGAAGACGGAAGACCCCAGTCCACCGGCTAACCTGCTCTCTTCCTCCAGCGCTACCTGCCCCAACCCCCGCGCCTCTCGCCCCGCCCCCAGAAGTGACGACAGCCACACGGTTCGCCCGTGTCCCGTCAGGCCTCGCGGCTGCGGCGGTGACGGCGGCAGCGGCGGGAAGATGGCGGCGGCGGGAGCCCTGGAACGGAGCTTCGTGGAGCTGAGCGGAGCGGAGCGCGAAAGGCCCAGGCACTTCCGCGAATTCACAGCCTGCGGCGTTGGTACGGCAGAGGCCTGGGAGATCAGGATCTGATCCTCCCCCTCGGGCTCTTCCTATAGGCCCTTGGCCTCCTCCCGGGTTCATCCTTCCAAGTCCACATGCCTAGAGCCTGTGCATCAAACCCTCCCTGGTTCCTGACTTCTACCTCCTTTACCCCCTTCTCACTGTCGGTCCCGGGCACTGTTTCCTCGGCGCACAGAGCCTGTCATCCCCAGGGAACCACATGTGCAGGCTGACCACATTCATTTTGCAGGGACTGCCAGTGCTGTGTTTGGAGCTGTGAAATACGGTGAAAGCGCGGGAGGCTTCTATTATGTGGAAAGCGGCAAGTTGTTTTCTGTCACCAGAAATAGGTTCATTCATTGGTAAGTAGTGTGATCTCCCACCCCCTAGAAGGTAGGATTTGTTGTATGAATGAATAATGGTGTCTGTTCCCAATCATAACTTCTACCAAGCAGTAACTCACAAATGGGAAAAGAGGACTGTTTTCAATTTCGATTTATTTTTATGTGTATGAATGTTTTGCTTGCATGTATTAGGAGGCCAGAAGAGGGATAGGATCCCCAGGAAGTGGAGTTAAGGACCATTGTTAGCTGCCCTGTGGGTGTTGGGAACTGAACCTGGGTCCTCTGCAAGAGCAGCTAATGCTCTTAACAGCTGAGCCATCTCTCCAGCCCATTTTCAGATCTTGAGACAGAGTTTTAGGAGATACAGTACTTGAAGATTCATTTTAGACATGAACTCATGGTGTTATTGTAGTCTTTGAAAAGTCCTTCATTCTTCAGATGGGATAGCGCTTGTATATGTTAGCCATAGTACTAAGAACCAGATCAAATGGTGCCAGATTCGGTAACTGCACTGTGGAGTAGATGACACCTTTTTTGTGACAGTTTCACAAAGGAAAAATTACATTAAATGAACAATCACAACATAGGTTTTTAAATGCAGATTTTCAAGCTTGCTAGGTTAAAAATATAGGAACTATGAGAGGCTAACAAGACATGATATTGGCAGGGAAGGGAAAAATGTAGAAAGTCACAAACCGAGATTGGAAGGATCAACAGTTAGCTAGGCATTGGGAAAAGAAAATCCAATAGGTACTGTATGCAAAAGCCATGAAATGGAAAATTTTTGGTAGGTTTGAGAGACTAACCAAAGGCTCTGCATGGCTTAAATGTAGTGGATGAAATAAATGATGTGAGAGATGTTGAGGCTGGAGATGCAGGTGGGATTCTGACCAAGAGGAACCCTCTGGACATTTGTAAGATTTTTGGATTTTAAAGTTACCGATATGATGAAAACTTGATATTTAAAGATCAGTCTAAGGGCTGGAGAGATGGTTCAGCAGTTAAGAGCATTTGGTGCTCTTAGAGAAGACCTGAGTGAGTTTGGTTCCCAGCACCCATGTCAGGCAGTTGCCCATACTCCAGCTTAAAGAGATCCAATGCCCTCTTCTGGCTTTGCAGGCACACCCCCCCCCACACACACATGCACATACCCACCTTGACATACACACATACACATAATTAAAAATAAAATCTTCTAAAAAAAGAAAGATCAGTCTCTGGGGTAGCTCAGGAAGTAAGGGCCCTTGCTGCCATGCCTGATGACCTGTCTGTCAATCCCCAGATTCCACATGTGCACTGTGGTCCTTACACACAGTATGAAAGAAATCAGTGTACTTTGTTGTTTCTGGAAATTGGATTTGGGTTAATTGGTAATACAAAAGGACAATTTGTTCTTTTTTTTTTTTTGAGACAGGGTCTCCCTATAGCCCTGGAACTTACTATGTAGACCAGGCTCGCCTTGAACTCACAGAGCTCTGCCTCCTGAGTGCTGGGATTAAAGGTGTGTGCCACCACGCCTGGCCTGACAATTTGCTTTTGTGATGACTGCAGTAAGAGATGGCTCAGTTATGGAAGTTACTAGTGGAACGAACTGTATGGACACAATATTTTTAGAAGGGAGAGTCTTTTTTCTTTTTTCTTTCTTTTTGTTTTTTTTTTTGAGACGGTCTCCCTGTAGCCCCAGCTAGACTGGAACTCGCTTTGTAGACTAGGCTGGCCTTGAACTCACACAGATCTGGAGTCCTGGGGTTAAAGGTATGTACTACCACACCTGGCAGAAGGTGTATTGCCTGCATGTATGTGAGTGCACCCATGTCATGCAGTGCTGCGAAGGTCAAAAGAGGGCTTTGGACTCCTCTGGAACTGGAGTTAAAGATGGTTCGTAGCCACCATGTGGGTGTTGGGAATTGAACCTGGGTCCTCTGCAAGAGCAGTTAGTGCTCTTAACTGCTGTGCCATCTCTCCAGCCCCAGAAGGTGGATTCTTTAGGTGATATGCACATAGATGTTGTAAAGGAAAAGGTGCAAGAACAACTCCCTGTTTTGTTTTGTTTTTTTGGTCTTTTTGAGACAGGGTCTCCCTGTAGCCCAGCTGTCCTGAAACTCACCATGTAGACCAGGCTGGCCTTGAACTCATAGAGATCTGCCTGCCTCTGCCTCCCAAGTGCTGAGATAAAAGGCATGCACCACCACACCCAGCCTAACTCCCTGGTTTTTGATGCTGATGTGTGCCATCTTTTGAAACAAGTGATAGGTTTTGGTGAGAAGTGAATAATTCTAGATGTATAGAATTTGGAATACCTGAACAGCAGCCTTTTTGAAGTCTGAAGTAGGCACCCAGGTTTACAGGCCTGAAACTCAGAGACATGTGTTAGAGATAGAAGTCTCATTCATTTAAGAAATATATTTTAGCTAGGCATGGTGGCGCATGCCTTTACTCTCAGCACTTAGAGGGCAGAGGCAGGTGGATCTCTGTGGTCTACATAGTGAGTTCCAAGCCGGCTGGGACTACAGGGAAGTCTTGTCTCCAAAATAAAGAAATCGTTTTGTGAGTTGGGCATGTAGTTCAGTTAGTAGAACATTTGCTTAGTATGCTCGAAGACCTAGATTGTATCCTAGCACCACATGAATCAGGTGGTGGCACAAGCCTGTAATCTTAGAAGTCAGGAAGTAGAGGCCAGAGGATCAGAAATTCAAGTTCATCCTTGGCTACATAGCATATTCAAGACCAAACTGTAGTATGTGAGACCCTATCTCAAAAAGGAAAAGCTTTTGTGCATGATGATTCAGTCTTTAAGGGCTGTAGGTAAAGCAGGAAGGTTCCTGCTGTCCTGGAAAGAAGAAGGTAAAACTACAGATAAATATGGTTTGTCATCTGATACATAGAGCAGAGAAGCAAAGTAAGAAATAACAGTAATGCCAGCCCTGGTGGTGCACGCACACCTCGCTGCACTCGGGAGACAGAGGCAGGCAAATCTCTGTGAGCTCAAGGCCAGCCTGGTCTACATAGAGAGTTCCAGGCAAGCTGGGGCTTCAGGGAGACCCTGTCTCAAAAAAACAAAATAAA